TGCGGCTTCCACCGCTCACCGTAGCGCCGACCAGCCTGAGAGCCGCGTCCTTATCAAAGTCACCCGCACGCGCCCTCCTGCCACTGTCCCTTGATCTTCTTTCCTTTCATCACCCATTGCGTGATCGTATTACCTATGTGAACGCCAAGGCATCATACCCATCGTCGTCTTCACCATCATCTCCATCATCACAGCGTGTGCTTGTTTGAAAGTGCCGATCGCATCTTGGTGAATTCGCAAGGCCGTGAGGCCAGAGAAGTGCAGTAGACCTGGCCACGGGGACGGGAAGCAAGGTGTCCTGTCTTGGGTCCCTCTTGGGGCGTGATTGGGACTATCTTGGAATCTGATTGGGCCCCCTTACGAGACCTCGTGAGGCTGCTTGGGCCATCTTGGGGCTACCTCAGGGCTCCTTGGGGCCTCACGGGGCTCTTTGAAGTGTCTGCAAAACGACCCCAAATGCTCGATGTCTCTGCCTCGGGTCCACCGCTCGTTATCCGCTTGACCTCTTACGTATTCTCACTTCTGAATGTTCCTGCTCCCCTGTCCAACCCTCCTCTCCCACACCTCACCTCCATGCACTTCCCCTTTATAACCTGCACTCAGTCTTTCTGAGATTGAACTCAATCGTCCCCTCCCCTTCTCTCCACTGCACTCCAAGCCCGCCACTCCCTTCAACATGTTCCAACGCAAGTACACGGTCCCACCATCCCTAGCTGCAACGACGAAACCGTCAGCGAAAGGAGTCTCCTGGTCGGACACTTTTACCGGCAGCAGAATGGCACCGGTTGAAAATGGAAAGAACAGTGCGCTGCCGCACCTGTTGAAATCCGCCGAACTCCCTTGCCGGATAGCCCAGTGTGTGAAAGCCTGATGGGTTTCAGCTCGAAGTACTGACGTGATCAACGGGCAACACCTCCGAGTGTATGTTTCTGCTGATGCTGAACGTGCTCACTCCTACATCAGGATTGCAGAGTTCCCTGGTGGGTCCTGAGAGAGTAGCAGCCAGCAGACTGCCCCCATGAACAAGTAAGCCTTATACCAGGAGTGGCCCAGGCCTGTCACGAGTGTACGATCTGACTTCATGCCCCCGAGCTCGATTCGACTCGACTCTCCCCCTTCCGCCTCTCCCACCTCCTACTTCCCCACTGCCCCCTGCTCCCCCCCATCCATTCTCAAATCCTCCCTCCTAATCTTCCTCCTCCTCCTACTCCTACTCCTCCTCCTCCTCCTCCTCCTCCTCCTCCTCCTCCTCCTCCTCCTCCTCCTCCTCCTCCTCCTCCTCCTCCTCCTGCTCCATTCCCTTCCCTTACATCCCTGTCGCACCTCGAGGCCAGTCGGAAGGGCGGGCCGGGCGTTTCGTCTGAGACTCCGTTACAACTTATGATCCTGAAGCTAAAGAAGTTGCAACAGCTTCACAGATAGAGGGCGGGTAATTTCTAATATGGTCCAGGGCTTGGGCCCCCCCCCTCCCCCCCAATGCTGATGCCATTGGGCCCCCCCCCCCCGCGCGATGGTCCCCCCCGCCCCCCCCTGTGGGCGTGGCGTGGTGCTGCGCTGCGGTGCCCCCCTCCCCCCCCCTGTGGATGTGGTGTGGTGCTGTGGTGGTTCAGAGGTGGGCGTGGCGTGGTGCTGCGCTGCGGTGCCCCCCTCCCCCCCCCCTGTGGATGTGGTGTGGTGCTGTGGTGGTTCAGAGGTCGTCGTCGTCGTCGTCGTCGTCCTCGTCGTCCTCGTCGTCGTCGTCGTCGTCGTCATCGTCGTCGTCGTCCGTCGTCATCGTCGTCATCGTCGTCGTCGCCGCCGCCGCCGGCGTCGTCGCCGCCGCAGCCGTCGTCGTCGTCGTGGTCGTCGTCGTCGTCGTCGCCGTCGTCGTAGTCGTCGCCGTCGTCGTCGTCGTCGTCTCTGGGACCATACCATCTGGGGGGGGGGGCCGAGGAACCCTGGGACCATACCATCTGGGGGGGGAGGGGGGGGGGGGGCCGTGGGCCCGGAGCCCGGGATCATATATGGCTCTCGCCTTCACGCCGCGCATATTCGTTCAAAAAATTGCCAAAATCTCAAGTGTGGAGGGCGGTTGCTTTTCAAAATGTGGCTCTCGCCTTAGCGCCCCGCCCATTCGCCTTAAAAAGATGTGCAAGAGTTTCACGCATTGAGGGCGGGCGGTTTCCAAAATGTTGCTCTCGCCTTTGGGGCAACGCACACTCGTCTTTAAATTTGCAGGAGCTTCGCGGATTGAGGGCGGCTCCTGTTCAAAATGTGGCTCTCGCCTTAGCGTCGTGCACATTCATGTTGAACATTTGCAAGAATTTCACGCGCTCCCATGGCTGACGTACATGGCGTTTTGGAGCGATTCGGTATTATCAGGGCGCAACAGTTACGGTGATTCGCGGTGTTGTAATCCCAGGAATGATGTTCTAGCACGATTCTGGATCGTCAAGACGCAGCAGTCATATCGATTCGTGGCGTTGAAACCCCGAGAATGGTATTTTGGTACGGTTCGGAATCTTCAAACGGCGGTCCCCCAACGGTGCACTGCCCTAGTGGAAACGAATCCTTGTATGAAACCTAAAACAAGGAAGCTTGGAGGGGGGGATTCTTCCAACATCGTTGGTGAGTCTCGGGTTTCCACTGGTCCTCCTCCTTCTCCTCCGCCTCCTCCTCCTCCTCCTCCCCACCCTCCTCCCCACCCTCCTCCTTCTCATCCTCCTTCTCCCCCTCCTTCTCCTCCTGCTCCTCCTCCTCCTCCCCCTTCTCCTTCTCCCTCCCCCTCCCCCATCCCTTCTCCATCTAGGTACCCACCATCCCGCTCCCATCCAGCCCCCGACAAACGGCGCTCCGTTTCCGTTCGACGCGCGGGCTCCGCGCCGCATCGTCGATACATCATCGATGCATCGGCGATACATCGGCGATGCATCGGCGACGTCGGCGAGGAGAAAGTCGGGCTCCACATCGAGCCACATCGCCGGTGCGTCGGCGATGCGGCGCGATCCTCCGACCCCATCTGCTCCGACCCCATCTGGGAAGCCCAGATTCATCCCGAGCCGTGTTCTAGCGGTCCTGAGCTTGGGCCGTCTTGCGGGCCTCTTGGGGGCCTGTGGGGCCATCCTGGGGCGATGCGATGTTGGGCGCCTCTGGGGCGGTCCTGTAGCGCCAGAAGCCCGGAGAGGCGAGAACGGTTAAGTAATCGAAAAACCTGGGGGAAATACATGGAGGTCCTCTTGGAGCTCTCTTGGAGGTCCTTTTGAAGCCCTCTGGAGGAACAACACGAAACCAAAAGGCGGCAGGCCTGCCAGAGGAGGAGGAGGAGGAGGAGGAGGAGGAGGGGAGGAGGAGGAGGGGGAGGAGAGGAGGGAAAATGAGAAGGTAGGAGGAGATATCGAATCGGCACCGACGCTCCATGCCATCTGTCCTCCTGTGATTGGGAGGAGGAGAGGAGGAGTAAGGAGGAGGGGAAACGGGGAGGAGGAGGAGGAGGAGGAGGGGGAGAGGATGAGTTAAGGAAGAGGAGAGGATGAGGAGGAGGAGGAGAGGAGGAGAGGGAGGGGGGGGAGGGGAGTAGGGGGAGAGAGGGATGAGAGGAGGAGGAGGAGGAGGAGGAGGAGGAGGAGGGGGAGCAGGAGGAGGAGGAGGAGGAGGAGACCAGAGGGAGGAGGGAGGGAGGTCTGTCGCCATTCTTGCGGAGGGCCGCTTTTTTCCGTGCCTCCTCCCCCTTGGCAGAGAGCCGCCCCCCGGCAGAGGCACCCGCCGCTCCCTGCCGAGCGGGGGCGGGGGCCGGGGTGCGGCGGCCCAGAGCGGGAGGGCAGGGCGGGGGAGGGAGGGTTCTGTCGGGCGTGTCCCCCTACGGCAGGTTCGCGTCGTGCCGACCCCGGCGTTGGTTTCTGACACCGCAGGGATCGTTCAACCTTGAACGATCGGCCGTCTCCGCAACGTCCGATCGTTCAACATCGACCGATTCTGGGCCGCCGTCGGCGTTCAACCTTGAACGCCCGCGCCGGGGTCGCCGCTGGTCGACACGACGCAAACCTACCGTACAGGGGGAGTTTCGACGAAAAGTGAAAAAATACACAAACATGCGCCAAAAAAAAGTAAAAAGATGTTCAAAAAACAGTCCCCC